CATTTCTGGTCCTTTTGCGCTTCCTCGCAGCTAGCAGGTTCACAAACTACTACATTACATCTTTGATAGATGTCAGATAACAGCCTTTTGCCTCTGACTGGAGGGTCGTCTTCTAATTCATCCTGTAACAGCTTTGTTGTTTGTTGTCCCGAATGCTTATCATCAATGTTGCCAAATAGTTTAGTTGTTCTTTGTGAGTTCTCCCAATTCCATTGTTGTTCTTCATTAAAGTTCACATCTCTGGTAACAATCATCTTTCCGGTTTGAGGATGATACACTTTATAGGCCTTTGACACTGAACTGTAACCCACAAAGATGCCCGGAGTTGCCTTCTTGTCAAGTCTGTCACGCTTAGCCTGTGGAACATGTGCAAAACAAACACAACCAAACACTTTAAGAAACGTTAGTGATGGCTTATACCCATACCAAGCCTCAAATGGAGTTTTATCCTTCAAGGCTTTGGTTGGGAGCCGATTTTGGAGAAAAACCATTGTGTTAGCCGCCTTGCCCAAAATGTTTTAGGCAACTCCTTCTCATGTAACATGCATCTAGCCATCTCCATCACCGATCTATTTCTCCTTTCACTAACCCCATTTTGTTGTGGAGTGTAGGGGGTTGTGAGTCGATGTTCAATACCAGCTTCTTCACAAAATTGATTAGATTTTGTTGATGTATACTCTGTCCCATTGTCAGATCTTATACATTGAATCTTGCAGCCACTTTGAGTTTCCACCATTTTCTTGAACTTCATAAATACTCTAGTTACTTCATGCTTAAATTTCAAAAAAAAATATCCAGCACATTCTTGTGAAGTCATCTATGAAAAGAATGAAGTATAGACTACCTTGTAGTGATGGTGTTCTTTGGGGTCCCGCCACATCAGTGTGAACAAGCTGCAACTTTTGAGAAGCTCTCCAAGCTGATTTGGGGAATGATTTTCTTATTTGTTTACCAAATTGACAAGCATTACAATTTGGTATATTATCAGAAAGTATTGGCAGACCTCTTGACATGCCTTTTCTTTGCATGTTCAACATTCTTTCAAGATGGCAATGGCCGAGTCTCTTGTGCCAGAGTTCTGTGGGACTGACTTGAGTAAAATAGACTGCATGCTCCTCCTCTGTTGGATCAAACGAGAAGCTTTTACCTCTCATTTTAACCCATAAAACTTCCCAGCCAGCAATGTCGTAGATGAGACATTGTTGATTTTCAAAGGATACTTTAAATCCCTTTTTAATCAACTGACCTACACTTAGTAAGTTTTGGTCAATGTCAGGTACGTAGAGAACATCGGATATAATTTTGGTACCTGAACACGTTGAAATTGCAATGGTTCCTTTTCCTTTTGCAGTAATATAGCCACCATTCCCTATTCTGACCTTTGAGACATTTGTGGGCTTCAAATCCTTGAATAGAGTCTTGTCATATGTCATGTGGTTCGTACAACCACTATCAATTAACCAGAATTCAGAATTGCTCCTTGTCGAATAGCATGTTGCAGCAAAAATATAGTCTTCTTCATCTTGCTCAACAACTTGGGCATTGGCTTCATGTTGCTACTGAAATTTGCTCCTACAAATTACAGCTTCATGTCCAAGCTGATTGCATTTACTACACTTCGCGTCTGGTCGTTTCCAACATTTGTATGGTGGGTGACCCAATTTCCCACAGTGCTGACAAGGTGGGTAGTTTTTCTTTTTAACCCTACCATTGTTTTGGTTGTTTGCACTATTACCGCTGCTTGATGGCTGGTCCTTCTTGACATGCTTCTTTCTACTGGTTTCCCCGTAATGGTGCTTGGCTCGTAAAGCACCTTCGACTGCACCATCTTGTCTCATCAACCTTCGCTGCTCTTGGGACTGCATAGCACTTACAAGTTCTGCCAATGTGATCTTTGAAAGATCCTTAGTGTTTTCTAATGAAGTAATAGAAGCTTCAAATTTTTCAGGAGAAGTTACTAGTATTTTCTGAACTATTCTTGAATCAGAAAAATCAGAACCTAACAACCTCACCTTGTTAGCAATGTTAAGAAGTCTGTTCGCATACTCCTTAATTGTTTTAGACTCCTTCATCTTCTGCATTTCAAATTCTCTAACCAGATTCATTGCTTGCATTCCCTTGATTCTTTCATCTCCTTCATATTCTTCCTTGAGGAAATTCCAGATCTCAAATGCCGAATTAATCATCATGATTCTGGTGAAAATGTCTTGTGAGACAGCAGCAAACAAAGTAGCTCTTGCCTTAGATTTTCTTCCTTTCTTCTCCTTGTAATTTTTTATCTGAGCCATAGTTGGATTGTTCGGTAAAGGAAGAACTTCATAGTCTTCCTCAACGGCTTCCCAAATGTCATTTGCTTCTAGGTAAGCCTCCATTCTTACTGCCTAGATGTGATCATTATCACCGTCAAACACAGGTGGTGCTAGTTTTGTGTAAGGAGTTTCAAAATCCATCTATTTGATGAATTGAAGGAAGATTTATTATGGTGGGTTTTTTAATGGGTTCACTCACAGGTCCCTCTAAGAAGAAGGATCTTGATACCAATTTGTTAGTTTAATGGCAGAAAATAACAAATAGAGAGGCAGAGAAGTAGAGAAAACTGTTGGTTAAAAGAAAAGAATATATTTTGATCAATAGAAGCGTTACAATAAATAATAGAAAGAAAAACTGAAAACTATACCACGTAACCAGAATTTTAGGCAATTGAATAATTAAACTAATTTGCTCCTAAAGTATAGCAACTACTACTAGCTTGCTCCTAAAGTATAGCAACCACTAATTGACTAAAAAACTGAAACAATAAAATAAAATAGTAATAATAAATCTAGCAGTTACAAAAGCACATTTAATAACTTCACATTAATTTTTAGTTTGTAGATATTTTGTTAGCTCATTTTTTTTGCGTTTTAGTTTATTACTGTTACCCTAGAGTCTATTATAAATGTGTTAGCTGCTCCTTTGTACATAACATTATAAATTGAATAATATTGAGTTGTTTTCTTTTGTCATCAATACTAATAGAAACATTGGATTTCAAAATCTTATGTCATCAATACTAATAGAAACATTGGATCTCAAAATCTTAATATGGTATCAGGCTCCATCCTTTCTTCTCTCCTCATGTGTTTTCTGATCTACTCTACCACCTACCTTCACCACGTGTCTTTTCCTCACCTACTCTTCAGATTTAACTCACTCAAAATTCTTTCTCTTCCTTCACTCTCTTTTCCTTTTTCTCTCTCTTCTTTCCGATAAACCTCTTTTCTTTTTTCTTTCTCTTCTTTCCAATAAACCTCTTTTCCTTTCTCTTTTCTGGAGATATTTCTTCTTTCTTCTTCCCCACCAAAACCTTAAATTTCTCCCTTTTCCCTAAAATTCATCACTGTTCCTTCATATTTATCCTTCCAAGTTCTCTCCGCTTCATCCATGGCGGAAAACCCCTTCGCTGATCGCAACGAATCCCTCAAACCCCTACTACCTTTATCTAATGAAAACCCCTCACTTGTTCTTGTTTCGCCGCCGCTCAACCACACTAACTATATCTCTTGACCCGATCAATGCGTGTTTCTCTGATCTTCAAGAATAAATTTAGGTTTATCGATGGCACCTTTGATCCACCTACTCTAGGCCACACCTTGTACGATCCATGGATCCGCTGCAACAAATTGGTACTATTGTGGCTTTAACATTCTATTTATGAGAATATTGCACAATTAATCTTGTGGATCAATAATGCTCGCGTCGTGTGGACCAACCCCACCATCAGATTTTCTCAAGGTGACATCTTCAAGGTCTCTGATCTTCAAGACGCCCTCAACAATATCAACCAGGGAACTCTAGACATTTTGACCTACTTCACCTAGCTCACATCTCTTTGGGAGCAAATCAATTCTCTCCGACCTACTCGTGATTGCACTTATGCAACCCCCTGTAGCTGTGGCGTGACTTCAGATCTTCGATGCTACAAAGATTAAGATCGCGTACTAAAATTTCTCAAAGGTCTTAATGATTCCTTTTCAACAGTTAGTTCACAAATTTTTCTTTTAGAACCTTTACCTTCTCTTGAGAAAACCTTCTCTTTGGTTCTTGGTCAAAAACGAAGGGCCCTTCTCCCACTTGTTGATACTGCAGAAAACCCCTTTATGGCTATGCAAATTCAATCGCACTCTCATTCTGGGGGAGCTTTAGATTCTTCATGTGGTTGTAGTAGATCTTCCCCTAGACGTGGCAACATACCCCAACGAACCTGCACTCGTTGTGGACGTCATAACCACATAGTGCAAACTTGTTTCATGAAGCATGGTTACCCACCGGGATACCATTACAAGAGCTCTAAGTCCTCTATTAACAATGTTGCTAAATCACCTTTAACTAACAACACTTCTGCTTCTCAGATGGATCCTCAACAATCATTGGCTTTGTCATACCCTAAATTTTATCCTTAGATCATCGATTATTTGGCATTTCATTTTGTTTCGTATTTCATTTTTACTAACCGCTAACCGGTTTGCTCAATTGTTTGTTTTTGCAGAAAAATATTGTTGTGTTTTAATTCATGAAGTGCAGAAATATTATCGGTTTACAGTCTGTTGACGATTACATAGTCAACTCATCATCAGAGGATCCACAGGCGATTAGGGTTTTTGTCTCCCGAGCTACACTACATTTACTGTTTCTTAACATTCACTATTTTCGTTTTGCGTTGCAATATCTTCTCAGTATGATTAGGAATAGGCTTTTCAATGCTGTCAGTCTAAGAAATATTTAAATCATTGATTTTTTTCTAAGTGACAACATTGAGAAATTATTCTCAAATATAAAAGTGAATTGCAAGATGTGAAATTAATAACAACAACGTTATTCTGTGAGATAGATTGCAAGAAAGAAAAAAAAATTTTCCTCAAAGTTGATAAAATTCATTTTTTCAAAGAATGAATGTATCAACAACAACATATAACCTTAAACGATTTTTTTTAACTTATTAAAAAACATAAAAAAATTCTCTATTTTACAATCCATCTTAAGGAATAATATTTACAAAACTTGCACTCAAAGACTTGGAAACCCCTCATCACTTTTTCTTGAACTGCAAGCATTCTTTGTTTGTGTTTATGACCCATTAGAAAATTGCATCCAACAGAACCCATATCATCCACACAACTCCCCATTTCCACAATTGTCCCACAAAACAAGTCAACATGACATGGAAGCCATAAAGGACCATCATTTCTATAACCATATTCATTCTCAACACTTTCTAAAAGCGTTTTGAACAAAGGGTGATTCAATATTTTGATCTTGATTACGAATCTTTGTCTCTCAGGTCCAACGTAAACACAAATACAACCATTTGGTGGATCCCTACAACTATCTTTTTGCTTTTTGTGGCACTTCTTTGATAATATGCCATAGCTGCCATTGCTACTACTGTCTTGTGGATCATACATTCTCTTGCTGCTTCTCCATACCCTCTTACACTTCTTTACAAAATTCATAGTTTTTGTATATATCTATAGCCGTAGGGGAAAAGCAAGAGAGCCTAGAAATGAAGGTGTTAGTAAATAATGTGTATATGAAAGGGTTCTAAGATTATCCAACCAGTATTGCTCTTTATACACACCACTAGAGTCTCACACGGTCCCACTCTATACTGCATATATATTCTTCTACTTTGTTGCTCTTATTACTCCATTTTTTTTACACTCTATAATTGACCAATCCACACGTGCTGTTGAATATTGTATATTGTTTATAGATAATGTTCCTTTTAATGTTTTAGATACAAAAGTTTAAAATACTTTTAATCCATATAAAGAATACGATGAAACAAGTACGTCTATATTATATTAATTGGTTTATGAGAATGGTTTATGTATAAATTAGTGGAGGTAATTATAAACAATATTACCATGAAACAAGTGGATATCCTTTTCTAGAATATCTTCCTTCTTTTCAGGTTATCTGAATTAATTAATATTTAATTTATACCGTTGGAAATATTTAATTAGTAGGTTTGACCGTTTTTATTTTGAATATATTTGAGAATTTGGAGTACCTTATCATACTATCATAGTGATAGCCATCCTCATCGTTCACTGACAGATATGGTAGAGAAATAAAAGAAGGAAACCTTGGATATTTTCGGAAGCGGTAGTTGTAGAGTTATATTTTACATGCTAGTAATCAAACAAGGAAATTAAATATGTTTATAGAGCAGTTAAAGATTCAAGTAGATTAAGTACGATTTGATGACTTTGATTTTTTGATGATGATATTTAAATGGAATATAATTCAAACGTTATCATTAAGTAAAGTTTAAACAAATGTCTATAAAATTGAAGTATTTGACAAATTTTGAAGCTGTGAAAATTCGGCTTAACACGTTTGAGTGAATATTATATTCTAAAAATATAAGAATTTTATCGCAAAATTATACGACTCATCATCACACACAGTAAAATGAGTTTTATAACTTATTTTTAAAAAGAAATTTAAAAATTAATTGATGTCGTGCCAGATGAATTGGAAAAGGTCAGAAAAGTTATAGATAATTTATAAAATTATTATTATTGTTGCATTAAACTCTCAATTTGATAACAAAAAAAATTAAATTTGAAAAAAAAACATAATGAATGTTCTCATATAAAAAATAATAAAATTAATATTTTCTTTAATATCACATTAAATAATTTTTTATTTTATTATGCAGTGCATAACTCATTAAATATATTTGATCAAGTATTAAATATTTTTTTAAAATATTGTTAAATTCAACAATTCAATTTAGAAATACACTATGTCAGAAAAGACCTTTAGCAGCGCTTAAAAACGTTGCCTAAAGTGACGCTGCTAAAGGTAAAGTCAGCGTTTTTTTATGGAAAAAGCGATGCTATAGGCCCATTTTTAGCAGCGCTTTTCTAGAAAAGCGCTCTCTATTTCCCCTACCTTTAGCAGCGCTTTTCAAAAGCGCTGCCTAAAGTGCATTTGCTGAATATGTAACGCCCCGATTATGGAATTCCCATTTATTTGAGTCTTTATTTAATTTATTTAATTGATCGTTATTTTAAATGTGGAATTTGTGTTAAATATGTTATGTGTGCATATTATGCTATTTTTGCCGACTTTGAGAGTTTCGGGTAAAAATAGGTTTGAGGGTATTTTGGGCATTAGTGATGATGTTAAGTGGACTTATTTTGTGAGAATTAATTGGTAAGTGTTTGGAAAGAATTTGAGAGGAAAGAAATAGAAATATGAGATAAGAAGGGAAAAGGGAGAAAGTTAGTAACATTGGAAAGAAAAAAAGAAAGGAAAGAAAGGAAGAGAAGAGAAAGAGGGAAGAAAGAAGAGAAAACCTAGAATCTTGAAGAATCAATCCAAGCTTGCAAATAATCAGGTAAGGGTGAGGAATTCTATCATCTTGATAATGTATGTAGCATGTATGTGATAGATTGATTGTTGTTGGGTTGTTTTCTACATTTCCACTTTAGGTTGGAAGTTGGTTTAATCGGTAGATAATGAGTTTTATCGGTTAGAATTCGGAATAGACGATGTAGTTTAGTCGGGTGATGTATGGGTTGTGCTACTGGGACTGGTTTGGATTAAATCGGTCAGTTTTGTGTTGGATGATGATTTTGGTTCAGCTGCCGTTGCTGATATTCGCAGGTTCGCTGGCTCTCGCCAGGCGAGTCCAGGCGAAGCCCAGCGAATGGCTGGCGAATAATTCAAGGAAAACTCCCAGTGACCTTCGCTGGCAAGTTCGCCAGGCGAAGGTGGTAGGCGAAGGGTTCGCCAGGCGAAGGCCAGCGAGCGGGGCAGCGAGCCTATGACAGTAGCTTCTGTTTGGCTTCGCTGGAAGGGTTCGCCAGGCGAAGGCCAGCGAGCATTCGCTGCGTGGCTTCGCCAGGCGAAGGCTGGCGAATGAAGCAGCATGTCTGATTTTTCTTGAGCTTGCCATGTGGTTGGGTTGTGTGGTTTGGTTGTGATCATTCTTTGTCTGTTATGACTGATTATGTGCTATTGTGTGTGATGTGGGTAGCCGTATGGCGTGAATCCTAGTTTATGATTTGTGAGTCGTAAAATGTGGTCGTTGGGCAATTTTGCGTATTTACTTAATTTGAATAGAATTGCATGAGGAATTGATTGTGAATGAGAACCATGTTTGTATGGTGTGAATGAATGATGAATCTATATGTTTTGTGATACATATAATTTGAATGCATAAATGAATATATGCAATGAATGTGAAGAATGCATGCGTATGTTTAAACTTGTGTGCATTTCAAGAGTGTCATGAGTCATGTTGCATGTGAAGCATCATGGTATGCATTCTTGTGTCGATTGATCCCTCGGTGGATCTGCAGAACCCCGTGTGCCCTTGTGAGGTGTGAGCGGTGGTTGTTTATTGATTCCTCGGTGAATCTGTAGAACCTCGTGTGCCCTTGTGGGGTGTGAGCGATGGTTATTTATTGATCCCTCGGTGGATTTGCAGAACCTCGTATGTTGCGATGGTTATTTTGATTCCGCGTAGAATCTGCAGAACCTCGTGTGCCCATGTGGGGTGTGAGCGATGGTTATTTGGTTCTTCAATTGAACCTGTTGAAATGAGTCGGTACCGCATTTGCATCTGCATAGAGTCGTGTGTCGGTCTCTATGAGTTGCATGTTGACATCTTGCATGATGTATGGTGAATAAACATAAGTGTAAATGTTTATGTGAATTGTGGATGATTGGCATGGTTGGTATGCTTGAAAATATATGTACGTGTGAATGTATGTATATGTATATTTTGTGTGTTTATGAATTGATATAAACATTGTTGACGCATATTGTATATGCTTGGTGTTCTATTTGTAAATAGATAAATGTGATTACATTGCGATGTACGGTGTGATGAGGTGAGTTGCGGTGAGAACGCGAATGATCGATGTTTATGGAGTATTATGTATATATATATATATATATATATATATATATATATATATATATATATATATATATATATATATATATATATATATATATATATATATATATATATATATATATATATATATATATATATATATATATATATATATATATATATATATATATATATATATATATATATATATATATATATATATATATATATATATATGCATTATTATTTATGATATTGTTTCTCACCCTTCTGCTGTTATATAATGCTCTATGAGGCATTGCAGATTAGATTGCTGGAGGTATTTTTGTGAAGCGTGGCTTCATTCCCTTTTGGTCGGTCGGCTCTGATATGTAGCACCGGATAGATAGGATTATTTTGATTCTTTTGTGATGCATCTGAGTATGTATTTGCTGTTGACATGTTTTGTAAAGCATGATTGATGATGACTGTATTTGTGAATACATGTGTATGAGAATTATGAAATATTTGGATGTTTCCGCCTTTTTTCTAAATATTTCTTGCGGGTGTTACCCCGTTGTTGCATATCTGTTGAGCAGGCGTTGTATGTGTGGAATTTTTGTGATAATGTGATATTCCCCTTTTATGCCATGTTATAAATGTACTCTGATAAAATTTTGAATTTATGCCTAAATGATTTATCTTGTTATTTGGGGGCATAGAAAGGGGGTGTTACAGAATACATTTTAGCAGCGCTTTTGCAAAAAGCGCTCTCTATTCCCTCCACCCATATAGCAGCGCTTTTGCAAAGCGCTGCCTATTCTCCCCCCCCCCCCCCTCCCTCCCATATAGTAGCGCTTAAGAAAAGCGCTGCCTATTCCTCCCCTTTAGCAGCGCTTTTTAAAGCGATGTCTTTCCCCTCCCTTCCCCCCCCCCCCCCCTTCTATAGCAGCGCTTTTTGGAGCGCTCTCTATACCACCTTTTAGCAGCGCTTTCTCAAGAAAAACGATGTCTTTTCTTCATGTCATTAAATTTTTTTTAAAAAAAATCACTTTTTCATAGCGTTTTTTGGTAAAAGTGCTATCTATTTTTCATATTTTTTAGAAACGATTTTTGTTGAATTATGTTGCACCATTTTTTATATTTTTTTCGATAAACCTGCTTATATATACCATAATCATTGTAAATCAACACATAAACCTGCTTATAATTCAATACAAGTCGATTATCACAACAACTTCACAAATATATTCACTATACATATAATTAAAAAACCCGATAACTTTACAAATACATTCACTATACATATAATTCCAAAACTACATACGACTTCTAGAAATATAACTATCTCACATCAATTGACAATATATATACTTTATATAATTCTCAACTCAAGAATGTATTGACATCATTCCTCCTTAATTTCTTCCAATCTGTCTTTCGAGTAAGTATCACACTTGAATTCATCAAAATACTACATAATATAACATAACATGCATGATTTAGTTTTAAAACTAATTACTCAGATGAAATGTCGGTTAAATATTAAAATAAATCATATAACTTATAAATCCATACCATGTTTGGAATCTCTATTTGACCCGAATGAATAAT